CTCCTCCTGTTCCTCCTGCTCCTCCTACTCCCCCTACTCCTCTTACTCCTCCCGCTCCCCCTACTCCTCTTACTCCTCCCGCTCCTCTTGCTCCTCCCGCTCCTCCTCCACCCCCCACCCACACTCACACTCACACTCACACTCACCCTCACACTCCCTGCTCCACCCCCCACCCACACTCACACTCACACTCCCTACTCCAGGACCCAGCTGAGAAGACCCGCTTGCTGCAGAAGGCCACCAAGACCTTTGAGCAGGCTGAATCCACCGATCCCAACCACATCATCAGCCGGATTGCACAGGGTGCGCATCTCCCCATTCCCCCGTGGCCATAGCCGCACCCTCTTGTCGATTGCTGACCGCCGGGCCCATGTGTCCCCGCGCTCGCGGGTCGCCAGGTGTCGGGCTGCTGATCGGCGAGAATATCGCCCAGGCGGCGGACAAGTTCCTCCCGATATTGGAGGAGTCGCCGAGCAACATCCCGGCCATGCTCGGCATGGCGGCGGTGCTCTTCTGGCGCCGGCACTTCGTCGAGGCGCTGGAGCTCTTCCGCCGGGCGTTGATCCTGCTGCCGCCGCCGCCATCGACCGAGGAGCTGCTCCAAGCGCAATTGGCCCGGCGCGCCAGCGGCGCCGGTTCCAACCCGGACGTCGCCTCGGAGGAGGATCTGGCCGCCGATGTGGCGCGCATGTCGGCCTTCCTGCATGCGCCGCTCAATGGCGCGCGCTTGGGAATCGGCCTGTGCCAGTTTGCGCTGGGCCGGCTGGACATCGCCCGGGCGGCCTTCCGCCGCGTGCTGGCCACCGACCCCGGGCATGTGGAGGCCATGGCCTGCCTCGGCTTGTTGGACTTGCATACCAACACCGCGGACAGCGTGCAGCAGGGGATTGCCCGGCTGGCGGAGCTCTTCCGCCGGCAGCCGCACCATGTGGTGCCGCTGACGCAGCTGGCCATGAGCCACCTGTATCGCGGGGATGTGGACACGGCCGAGCGCCTGGCCCTGCATGCGTATCATGGCGCGGCGGCGGCCCCGGCGCGGGCCAGCGCCGCCCTGGCCCTGGCCCGGGTGACGCACCATCGGGAACTCAACTCGCCGGCCCCCCTGCAAAGCATCACCTTCAAGGCGTTGGAGTATTACACCGAGGCGGCCCGCTTGGATCCCACCCTGGCCGAGGCGCACTTTGGCCAGGCCCAGCTGCGTATGCTGTCGGCCGAAGTGTCCCTGGCCCGGGGCGAGACCAATGCCAGTGCCGTGTCGCTGAGTCACCAGCTGCGGGCGCTGCAGTCGGCCAGCGAGGCCCTGCGCCTGGCGCCCGGTGATCTGGACACCATTCGCCTGTTGGGTGTGCTGCATGCGCGTGTGTCGGTGGCCCTGTTGACGGTCAACCGGGCGGTGTTGCCCTCGCTGACCATCCAGCCGAGCAGCTCCCCCTCGGAGTACCGCCTGGCGGCGCAGCGTCTGCTCGGGGAGTCGCTGCAGCAGCGCCCGCAGGATGCCGCGGCCTTGGCCGAGTGGGCGGCCCTGCAGCAGGCACACGGGCGCCTGCTCAGCGCTCGGGCCGGGCTCGTGCGTGTGGCCCAGATTTGGGCCCTCACCGTGGGCGCGGATGGACAGCTGCCGCACACATGCGCCCTGGCCAGCTCCGGCCCCGGGGGGGTCCCGGATGTGGCCAGCCTCTCGGAGTCCGAGTGCTTGGCCATGTTGCAGTGCGAGGCCGGGGCCGTGGAGCCGATTTCGGCCGAGGCCCTGGAGCAGGCCCTCAAGGGGATGGGCCTGACCGCGCGCGAGGCGGTGCTCCTGCCGGCCGAGCTGCTGACCAACATCGCGGTGTTGGATCACCAGCGTTTGTGTGATGTGGTGCTGGCCGGGTCCGGGTCGTCGGGCATTTCGGTGCCCGGCCTGGCGGACCCGGTGGCCGTGGTGGCCGCCGACCCGGCCGCCTGTCGGGCTCTGTATGCGGCTTGCTTGGCGCGGTTCCGGCTGCTGGCCTCGTCCGACGGCCAGGCAGCCGGCCGGGCCCAGCTGGCGGCCTCCCATCGGGCCCCCACCTTCGCCCCGGGATGTGCTCTTCCCCCGGTGTGCAGCACCTTCTCCGTGGGGGCCGACTTGAGCCCGTGCCCGAATCCGCGCGCCGCGTGGCAGCCATCGGAGGTGAGCCTGCGTGCGCGGCGTCTCATGCGCACGCTGGTGTACAACCTGGCGCGCTTTGATGAGGATGTCCTCGGGGATGTGGCCCGCGCGGAGGCGGCTCTCGAGGCGTTGGCGGCCGGGCCGCTGGCCGGGGCCACCGGGGCCGGGGCCACCCGGTCGCCGGGACTGGCACCGGACGTCCAGCAGGCCTTCGCCGCTCTCGGGGCCGAGCTCCAGCAGGATGGGGCATACATTGATGCGCACTTGCGCCTGGCGCTGATGGCCCTGCGTCGTCAGAGCCCGCGCCCGCATGATGCCATCCGCCGGCTGCGCGTGGTCTTGAACATCGAGCGTAGCCATCCGATTGCCTTTGCCCTGCTGGCCCAGGCGTACCAGATCAACCTGTCGCAGGCGCTGCAGGGGCTGGCCAATTCCGGGCCCAGTGGGGCCAGCACGCGCACGGTGGACGAGCCATTGCAGCAGCTGACCCGGGCCCTGGAGGAAATCATGCGCAAGCAGCCGGACGATCCCTTTGCCCTGGTGATGTTCGGCCTGACCTACCACAAGCTGTCGAAGTTCCCGTTCAAGCAGCCGACCGAGGCCCCGGGAGCCGGTGGCGCTGGGGGTTCAGGCCCGGCTTCGGCCCCGGCCCCCGGCACGCTGGCCGAGATCCAGGCCCAGGCGGCCGGCCGGGGGGTGACCCCCACGCAGGTGGTCCAGGCCCGGGCGCTGGACTACTTCAACCGGGCCCTTGGCTGTGACCCGCAGAATGTGTACGCTGCCTTGGGCATCGCCGTGGTCCTGGCCGAGAAGGGGTACCTGGCCCAGGCGCGGGACATCCTGATCAAGATCTTCGAGGTGAACAAGCGCATTCCCGAGGTGTACATCAATCTGGCGCATCTGTATGTGGAATTCCAGCAGTACGAGCACGCGGTGGGGCTATATGGCCGGGCATTGAGCCACTTCCACGGGGTGACCGGGCGCAAGTTGCTCAATGAGGCGGACGCGCGGCCGGAGTTCCTGGCCCGGCACTTTGCCCCGGCCATCAGCCACCTGCCCTCGCACTCGCCGGTGCTTTCGATCAGCCGGCAGTTTGCCCTGTTGTCGTACATCGCGCGGGCGCACTTCCTCCAGGGGAAGGAGGCCTCGCGGACCGATGCCCTGGAGAATGCGGAAAAGTTCCTGTCACTGGTGCGCGGGCTTCCGGCCTTTGCCTTTGTCTTTCCTTCTCCTCTCCCTGGTCCTTGGGATGTGGGTTATTTTTTTTCCCCGCCATTTGTTCCCTGCCTTTTTTTTTTTTTTTTGCGGCTTCCCCGTCCATCCTCTGACTTGCGCCTGTCCGCGTGCATGCATTTGCACGCATGTATATACATATATGTGTGTATACGCATACACACGCGATTCCCCCCTGTCTAGGCCCTGCGCTTGCGGCCCTGGGACCAGGCGACTCGCTTCAACCTGGCCCTGACACAGCGCATCCATGCGAACTGCGTGCTGGATCACCCGATCGAGGAGCGCACGGTGCAGGACATCGAGCGGGCCCGGGTTCGCATCCAATCGGCTTGCGCGTGCGTGGATCTCTGGCCTGCTGGTCCCCCCCTTTCGCCTGCCCCCGCCCCCCGCCCCCCCCCCCCTGGGGCCTGCTCTCGTCTGACATGTTTGGTTGTCCCCTGTGTTTGTTTTCTTCTTCCTCCATCTGCCTCTCCCCCCTCGGTCTCTCCACTTGCCCGCCGGCCTGTTGACGCCTTCGCTGCTAGTACCTTCACGGCGATCGCCGCGGCGGTCGGGCACTCGCGCAATCGCCAGGAGCTCGGCATGGCCTCGGAGCATGGTGCGTTTGGTCATGCCTCCCCGTTGCCCGGTTTGCTGGTCTTCCTTGGGCTCCCACCCCCCCCCCCCCCCTGGCCGTGGTCTTTCTTCCGTTGTCAGGCCCACTGACTGCCCATTCCCCCCTGCGGCCCTCTCTGCCACGCACATGTCCGCAGCCAAATACTGCAGTGGCACTCTCATGAAGAAGGTGGAGTCCAGCATGGAAAGCCAGCTGGAGTCCGAGCGTGACATGGCCAAGATGAAGCGCGAGCTGGTGGCGGCCGAGGAGCATGCACGCCAGAGTGCGGCGGCGGCGGCATCGGCGGCGGCGGCCAAGGCCGCGGCCGAGGAGGCCGCGCGCCAGGAAACCCGAGCCATGATGCAGACCGCCGTCAAGAGCCTCGGCCTGGCAGACCTGTACAATCCGCAATCGTCGCGTGGCGACGGCAAGGACGCCGGCGGGTCCGATGATGAGGGCGGCACCGGGGGCCGGGGTGGCGGGCGGCGCCGCAAGCGCCGGACCGCCTCGCCAGCCGGGCGGAAGCGCGCGCGCGGCGACAAGTCCGGTCGCCGCGGGGACAAGTCCTCCTCCTCCGCCGAGCAGGACGATGCCTTCCTGGCCAGCAGCTCGGACTCGGAGGATGAGGATTTCCTCGGGGGCGGCCTGTCGAGCGCCGATTCGGACGTCGATTCCGAGGAGTCGGACAGCGGGAGTCGGTCGCGCCGTGGTGGGTCGTCTCGCGGCCGGGGGTCCTCGCGTCGTGGGGGCTCACGCCGCGGCCGGGCCGACTCCTCCGACGAGGACATCGACCTGGATGGCGACCTGGATGACAGCGAGGATGGCCGGGATTACCGGTCGGGGTCCGGGCGCCGGGGCGCCAAGGCCGGCGGGCGCCGCCGAGCGGCCTCGCCGGACGGCGAGTCCTCTTCGCGGCGGACCTCACGCGGTCGCCGTTCCGGTGGCCGGCTTTCCGCCCTGACCGACAGCCTGTCGGACTTCGATGAGGACACCGGCGACAGTGCCTTCGACTTGAGCCCGGGTGCCGGGACTCCGCCTGGCAGCGATGGCGAGCCGTCGGGCCGGCGGCGCTCGTCGCGCGTCGCGCGCGGTGCCGCGGATCGCTCGTCCGGGCGCTCCTCCCGCAGCAGCCGGGGGTCCAGCCGCCGGAGCCAAATCCTAGATGAGGCGGTGAACTACAGCATCGGGCATTCGGATGAGTTCGACGATGTGGACGGTGCCGATGACCGCCTCGGGGTGAATGCGTCCTCGATTGCGCGCGAGGTGGCCGAAGCTCGGAGTCTGAACTACGATCTGAGCGATGTCGAGGAGGATTGAGAGCGTCTCGCGGCCGAGGCGCGCGCGCGCGCACGTGTGCACGCGTATGCGCGCCCTGAAGTCCCTCGCTCATGTGGACTGGCCGCACACGCGCACACGCGCACACGCGCACATGCACGTCCACATACACGAGCGCGATCATCCTCTCCCTAATGTTTTCTCTTCCCCCCCCCCCCCCCCCATTGCATGCCTTTGCTTGAGAGCGGTGGGCGTGTCTCTTATACAGCACCTCCTTTTTTTTTTTTTTTCATCCCAGTGCCCTGTGTTGGTCCGCCGCCCCTCTCCTTGTCATGACGTGTGGTTCCGAAGTGTGTTTTCATTTGTTTGCAACGCTTGGCTCTTCCCGGGGGCGGGAGGGGGAGACTTGCATCTGGGGCATTCTGGTGGCTCGTCACCGGGCGAGGGGTGGTGGTGAAAAAGGCCGGCCAGGCGGCCGGGGGTCTAAATGGTGCACCTGGGAGTGCCCGTGCTGGGCGGCGTGCCGCGAGTTGTGGCAGGCTTTTCGCCATCTTTCCTTCTCTTTTCTTCTCGCCTCAATCCGAACGCTGTCACATGTGGCGGGGATGGCCTCATTGCAGGAAGCCCCGGGGTTTCCCTTGGCGTTGGGCACGGTCGCTCAGCTCCGCGTGACTGAGGTCCTCGAGGCGATTGAGTTCCCATTGGTCAGAGACCCGTGCCGAGCCCGGGGCGTAAGCCACCCAGCCGAGCATCGGGTTGAAGGTGATGTTGGCACGCCAATCGGCCAGGACCCGGTCTACCAGGGCCGCGGTGTGGGGCAGATCCTGACGGAGACATTCCAGCAGGCGCCGGACAAGGAATGACAGAGTGCTATGGGAGAGCCCGGTGGCCCGGGACAAGCTGCGCGCCCTGAGAGGGGGCCCGGTGAAGGTGAAACACGAGGGCAATGCATCCGGCAGGGGAGGATGGGCCAGGAGCTCGGTCCAGGGCCGGTAGTGGAGCAGCTGACTGATGGCATGCTCGATGACATGCTGGAAGTCATGGACAAGGTCGCCCACCAGCTGATCCAATTCGGCGCGGTATGCCGGCATCGGGTCGTCGGCAGGGTGCTCCGGCCGGCCAAGCTCCCGGATGAGGGCCGCGCCGATGCTGGCGAGGGTGTCGCCGGTGCTGGTGGCCGCGGCGTGTTCCAGGTACTGGACCGCCTGGCCGGGAGTGAGCTTGATGGTGTTGGCTAGGAGGAGAAAATCCAGGTGGTGCGGAAGGAGACCGATGGCCCCGGCGCGTGCATGTGCCAGCAGGTTGGTCGATTCTCGGAGTAGGATACGTGGATCGGCAAAAAGCGAGGGCATCGGCACATGCAAGCAGGTGGGGGCTGCCTGGGGCTGGGGGTGGAGGCTAGCTTCGTAGAACCACCGCCAGCGAGCTTCGGCCATGCGATCGCCCTGCTCGAGCCAGCGGCGCGCGGCCTGGGACATTCGCCCGGAGCGCTGCACCCGGGGGAGAACCCGGAGGACCAGCTGTGCGTTCAGGGCCTTGGGGCGCATGGCGGAAAAGAGGTTGGACGGGCCGCCAATGGGGTCGCCAGCGTCGTTGGTGGTTGACTTGGCCTGTGTGCCGAGGAGCAAGAGTGGCAGGCGAGCAGCCAGCACCTGGTGGACCACCGGCATCGGAAGGCCGAGCGCCCTGACAACCTCCTCCAGGGGCAGGGTGCCGGCCATACGGCGAATGCTGGGAACCGTGCGGACCACATGGGGGAATGCCAGTGGCCGGGTGATCCCCATGGTCCGGAGGAGGAGGCCCAGATCCAGGAGGCGCGGGGTGGCCGAGCCATTGTCGACAGCACCCTCGGCGCTGCTGGGGGTGACCAGCCACTGGCGGCGGGTGTGGTCTGAAGGGGGCCACCAGGGATCCAGCGGGGTGCGGACCTCCTCCAAGGCGCGGGAGAAGTCTTGCAAGAGTCGCGGGTTGTAAAAGCGGACAATCGTCAGGGCCAGGCCCACGTTGATGATGCGGTATTCGACTCTCCGGCGAATGGTGGCGGTGGTCTTGGCACGGAAGTCCCAGTAGGCCTCGCGAAGGAGGGCGATGACGCGCTGTTTGCCGGTTCCATCGGGCGAGAATTCCAGCCGGTTGTCAAGCATGCGCAGGACCTCATCATAGAGGTGCCGGGGGATTGGGAGGGTGGACGGCGTGGCGAGGGGGGCGGATGGATCCCGGGCCGTGGAGGCCAGGCCGGAGGATTCGGCATTGGGGTCCTGGGCCCGGGCAGGCCCGGGGTGTGTGGCTGGGCGGCCGCCACCAGGCAGCAGGCCCAGTTGGATGGCTGGCAGCAGTGTGCCGGCCACGTACTCCTTGGGGGCCGGCGGGAGAAAGGGGTTCGGCGGCATCAGGGGGCTGGCGGCCGGCCGGATGGGGGTTTGCCAGCGGCCCGAGCGCTCAGTCTCACCGGCGAGGGCAGCTTCACGTGTGGCCGGTGGCGAAGGGGCACTTGCCCAGGGGGATTCGCGTGTGTCGAGGGAGCCGGACAGGGGGGAGCCGGCGGCGGCGGCGGCGGCGGCGGCGGTAGTAGCATTGAGGAAGCTGACCACTGTGGCGGCATTTCGATTGCGGCGACCGTGCACGGGCGGTGGCCGGCTGGTGGGCGCAAGCGCGGGGGTGGGTGCAGCGGTGTTGGTGTCCCGGGCAGGGTCCTTGTCATGGCGGAGTAGCCCGAGATAGTGGTCGTCATCGGTGTCCTCGTCGTCGGTGGCGAAGTAGTCAATTTCGCCATCGGGCCCAGCCCGCAGGGCCGTGGCTGATGTCTCCTGACGCGAGAAGAAGACCGCCAATTTCATGGCGATCTCGCGCTCGAGGCGTCCGGGATCCGAATCGTCTATCGAAGGGGACACCGGCGGGCTTTTTGGCGGGGCGTGTGAGGCGGTGGGGGAGGAGTCGTGGGAGGCGGTGGGAGCGGGAGCTGGGGCGGTGGCGGTGGCGGTGGCGGTGGCGGTGGCGGCGGCGGCGGCGGCGGCTGCCGCGCGCGCCGCCATCGGTCCGGTCCCACTACGGGCGCGCAGCTTCCAGAAATGGCTGCGGACGGACAGCGCCGCCCGGGGCGGGTGCGCAGGGTTCATGATCCGAGAGGTCGAGAGGGCAGGGGGCAGGCAGGCCCCCAGGGGGTTGTTCAAGCACACGAAGGCACAATGGGGGGCGCGAGAGAGGAGGGGGGGGGGGCGAGGCAGG